TTCCCAAAAGTATCCTATCCAAGAATGAAAACCGAAAAAGGTTGACATGACAGTTTTTCAGTTTACCAGGATGGATACCTAATTAAGGATAATCAAATATTCTTATCACAAGGTCAATGAAGAGGTAAAAATGAACCTAAAATAATTATCCCTTTTGAACTTACTAATCCTTTAAAAGGAACTCCTAAGATTATCAATGTCTCTTTTAAAAAAGATAGTTGAAAACTAAACATTGCCTCTGATATCGAATTACCTCCCAAAATACCCAAATCAGCAATCAAAAGAATGAATGGAGTAGATAGAGGAGTAAGAAAACTATTTGCTAATAGTGATGGATGGAAATATTATAATCCTAAATACTGGGATAAAATAAGAAAGAGATACATTGAACTTCAACAAATATTAAGTAGGAAGGTTAAAGGCAGTAACAATTGAAAGAAAGTTCTAGATGAATTAAAAAGGTTATGCCGGAGAGTTGCCAATCGGATGAAAGATAGAAATCATAAAATAAGTAGGAAATTAGTGGATAAAAATGATTTGCTATTTTTGGAAAAACTAGAAAGCAGTAAAATGATTAGCAAAGAAAATAAGAAAGTTGGAAAGTATACAAGAGATGCAATGTTAAAGACTTGCTGATATCAACTAGCAATATTCATCATTTACAAGGCGAAGGGTGCTGGTAAGTGAGTAGAATTTGTTAGTCCATATTTAACAAGTAAAAGATGTTCCAAGTGTGGAAAAGTAAATAAAGAATTAAAAGATGAAGAAATATTTATTTGCCCTAGTTGCAATTATGAAGATGATCGCGATGTAAATGCTTCCAAGAATATCCTTTTTAAAGGAATTAAGAAACTGGGTTTAACCCAAAGGTTAGGAACTTCGTTCTCTGAGAGAATATAGCCTTGTAATGTTAACTGTAAAATTAATATATGGTTAACCGCTACGAAACTCCTACTTCTTTAAGTAGGGGTGGTTCATCTGTGTAAGTTACAGTAGTTGCTTGAATGATATCATTATTTATTTTTTTTTCTTTTTTTTCAAAAACTAAGTCTAGTGCTGATTGGTTTTTTGAAACTCTTCTTCATAAACTTAGACTGGTTTTGCCTCAGTTACTGCTACTTTTTTCTTGGCTAAATAATTTTTCCGAGCAAAGTATTGAGAATTTTTGGATTTTGAATAATTGAAACTTTCTCAATTTTTTTGGGCTTTGCATTCTCCGGTTCACAATTTAAAAATTATCACCGCATCTAATTGGTGATGACTAATCCTTTGTCTTTTTTCATCTAATCAACTTTCATCTCGGTTTTCATTATTGTTAGGTATGGCATGGGTAAAGATTCAACCTTTCCCTCGACCAGCTTCATAAGAAATACCAGAAGTATAAAGTTCTTGTTTATAAATCCTCTCTTTAATCATCTTAACTGAACGCACATAAACACTTTCGATACTCTTAATAAAGTCAAAATAATGTTGAAATGTTTCAATTACTCCAATTACTTTAAATAAACTAGTCATTCTGATTCGGTCAGTATTTTCCGGATCAATAAAATTGGTAGTTTCATAAACAATCTTTTCTGGTTTTGTTTCCTTAACCAAATCCATTAATCATTTTATGGTTTCTGAAAGAGTTTCGTTGAATTTTTCATAAAATATTACTTGTTTGGTTTCAGTATCCACTAAACAAGCTCCATTGGTTCCTTTCTCTCCGGAAGGATCTATTGTTAAAATTTTTGTCATACAATTTCTTTTAGGTAATAATATATATTTTATAGTTATTTAATTTTTATTGGTTAGTACCAAACCGTGTCCTTTCATTGTTCATAATCATTTATTAGTTTATCTTTTTCTTCTCGCAACTTCTCGATTTCAGTAAGGATTTTGCCTTGTTTTTTTGAGTCATTTAGCTTTGATATTAAAGCATATGTTTCACCAATCAAATCATCGATAAGTTTTGAGCGAGCATTTAATTCATCTTTATAAGGCACTCTTCAAAATCAAAAGGTTTCAATAATAATTTTTTTTAACAAATCAAATAGTCTAT